CGAGAACAGCCACAGTCACGATGCTTTTCTTCCTTCTGCCCAGCATGGGCCCCCCACTGCCCACGGGGTCCTCCAGAGGGGACGGCCACTCCTGCTGTCCTGGCCATCGGTGCCAGTGTGCCTACCCGAGGACTGTTTTTATTATTACTATTGTAAAACATCAAGTTCACTTAGCGGAAACATACATGTAAACATCTGCTGTCGGTCGGAACAGGTCTGGTTGTTGGTGGTGTCGTTTTAAGACACAGCAGGGGAAGCTCCATCTCCGTGCTCCTGTTTGCAGCGCTGGGCGGGCAGTGTGTGTTTTTTGTCGCAGTGGGCGTTTGGGTGTTTTGGAAACATATTTCAGAAAGAAATAAATAGGCAGCAGAAGAACTGCATGGCAGGCTACATCTTTGGATTACTGGACTCCAGGACGCCCAAGCCAAACCTTTCAAACCGGGGTACGACCTTGCTGTCAATGCTGTGAAGAGGAACAAAAACAAGGGTCACAGCTCTGCTGGTCCTGATCAGAATCAGGGTCACACTAGCTAAGAAATGGGCTAGTTCCAGAAGCTCAGCAGAGGCCCCCGCCTGCATACCAAGAAGTGAAAATGATTGTTTGCAACAGCCTTGGCAGAGGTGCCCCAGCCAGTGATCTGCCCCAGCCAGCGACAGTAGCTCGTCTCTGAATCCCGAGCGCCCAGCACTCAGCGTGGGCATGTCTGAATCCTTTTCTCATTTGCAGCCCAGGAAGGCTCTTGCCTCAAGTGGAACTGGGAGAGAAGTAAAACCCAACTCCCAGGACCAGGAGTGACAGCTCCTTTTAGAAATCGACTCAAGTGCTGGGGTGCACTGGGGCCACCCGGGAAGTGGGGTAAAATGCAGATTCCCAGAGCCTGAGTCCAGTGATCCGGATCCAGCGGGTGGTGCTGGGGAGGGTGGGTGGGAATCTGCATTTAGTAAACAGTGCGGTGGCTCTGTCGCAGGTGGCCCGTCAGCCACACTCTTGCTGAACGCTGGCCTGGGGTCCGGTCTGTGGAACACTGGGAGTGACTTTGCCAGGGCGGGGCGTGGGGGCAGCAGCTTTGCTTCCGTCAGTGAACTTGTCTGGAGACAGGCATCCCGCGGCTTTAGGACAGCTTTTCTGAGTGTGCCGCTGAGGACACAACCCTTCCAAGCTGATGTTGTCATGGCAAGTGAACTTTCCATGTCTCCTGCCCCAACCCTACAAAGGGGACTGAGAGGAACTGGGAAAAGGGTCTGTGACAAGGTGCTGGCCTCTGGGCAGCTCTGAAACCACTCCACTCCTTGTTCAGTAAGATCCCCAAGGGTTAAAAGCCAAGCAGAACCCTCCCCACGTGCCACGCACACGCTCAGCGGGAGGCTGGTGTGCGCAGGCGGGTGGGATAGATCTCACGGAGGTGTTAGTGGTGAGACAGGGCCACTCAAACGAAAACAAGACCAGCCCTAGATGAAGAACAAGGCAGAAATAAAAGTCTCATCCAGGAAGGTAGTTAGAAGCTGCTCAGGCAGCCTTGGAGGAAGCTCAGTTAGTGGGATCCTCTGAGAACAGTCAGTCAGGCACACGCAGGTCACGCAGAGAGGGGAGAGGGCCGGTTGTAAAAACAGACAAAGCAAAGGAAGTCTCGGGTGAGAAGACTGGAGCAGCAGAGGTTGCATCCCCCGGGTTAGTGCCCGTGTCTCAGTTTGCGTTTTAGCAGAAGTCATCGTGCTGAGCTGCCGATTAGGAGGGAGGAAGCCCCTGGAGGGCGCAAGCGGCCAGGCCTACAACCTACAGGGGGAGAGAAGGGAGAGCAGCGTCAGAGCCAGAGCCACGCCTGGGGGTAGCTGGAGGCCTGGCCAGAGCGGCTGGGCAGGGGACCTGCTGTCCCTGCAGAGAGATGGGACATCCCCCACCTCCGTTCCCCAGGCTTGGCAGCACGGTGAGCTTGGAAGAGAGCCTGGGCACAAAGAAACTTCTCCAACCTCCCTCAGGGCCCCATCACAGGACGCTCATAGAGAGGTTGGCTAACAGGCCCATGGGTCCTCAGCCCTCAACTATTAGAATTGACTTCCAGGAGTATTTTTGCTCATTGGATTTTCTTCTTTTGAGCTCTGGCCAGCGGCGACCCTGGAGACTCAAATCACTGATCCGAGTTCTCTCCCACCCAGGGACGAGCTATCCATCCACTCTTGGTGTGGACAGAGGCCCTGCACGTGCTGTGGGCCTTCTCTTGCCCATGGAGGGAGACACAAGCCTGTGTGGCCCTTGCTGGTGGCCGTGTGAGCTGCAAGAATGCCTCTTGGTTTAGGGAATAAATCACACAAAGATGGGGGGTTGGGACGCAGACACAGGAAGCAGGGTGTGCAAGGCAATAACCACAAACAGGCCAAGAATGAGGGAAGTGACAGGAGACACACTATTCCTCCAGAACCGGACAGGAGTTCTTAAAGTCGGGGTGGCCGTAACGTCCTTTCCCGTAGTAGCGGCTCCTCCAGCGACTGGAAGTGCCCCGCGACCATCACGCCAGGTGTGGGCAAAGAGCAGTCCAGCCCCAGCAGGTGGTCGTGTCGGCCCGCGGCAGACAGGCGAAGGAATCAGCGTGGTGGGAAAGGGAGAGATGACAGGACAGGACGGCACATCCGCCACCCCCCGGAAATAAAAAAAGTAACGAGACAATGGGAAAGAAAAGAGAAAGTAAACATCGTGACCAGGAGGCTTCCACACAGACTAGTTCAGGTCTGCTGGCATGCTTTCCCTTCCCCCACTTGTGACTCAGTTTCCCACCCATGAAATGAGAAGGTGGGACCGTCTGGTTTTAGGGGATAGAGAATCATCTCCTGATGCAGAGCCCACCCCGTGCAGCCTTCTCTTTCATGGGTGAGAAACCCAGGGCCCAGGTCGTTGTTGCCTGAGGTCTGACAGGACCAGCCCAGAGCTCAGCCCTGCCGCCTCACGTCACCTTCCGTGAACTGCTCTCTGGGAGGATAGTTCCAGCTCAAAACCTGGCTCTGACAACCCTTCTCCTGCAGGCCCTTCCTCGGGCCCTCACGTGGGGGGACAGCCACTCTGTGCTTTCCCGCAGCATTCAGCATGTTGTCATCATTTGCTTATGCACTCACGAACCATTAAATATTTACTGACCAACTATTACGTCCCTGGGACTGTGCTAGAAGCTGGGAATACAAAGGTGACAAGATGGAGTCCTGCCGCATGGAGGTGTCACTACAGCGTGTCTGTCTGTCTTTATTCCCGACTACACTGTGACCTCCTTGCTGGTGGAGACCTGGTCTTGGCCATGTGTGTGTCCCCAGGTGTGTAGCAGGTACACAGCAATGGCTGAGCAAAAACCCACACCTCTAAATATGGGGTAACTTGGACTCTGACCCGTCCTAAGAGCAAAATACTGAATCCAGTGCTGTATTAGAGGATACAGTATTCTCTAACCCCAAATTGGTGTCCCTCCCAACCGTCCTTGCAACTGGCCCAAATCTGCAGAGCGCGATGTGTTTCCTCAGCGATTTCTCCGACTCCCATCCTCTGTCTGAGAGCCTCACACGGGGCCTCTCCACTGGGCTGGCAAGCTGTGTGCAAACCAAATCTGGCCACAAGCCAGGAAAGGTTCTGATCATTTTAAGAGGTATTTGGGGAAAAAAAAAAAACACATAATAGACTGTATCACCTGCAAGCCTAAGCTATTTACTGTCTGACCTTTTCTAGGATAAGGAACGCTTCCGCCAGCCACTGCACACCTGGGCACCAGGTGCAACAGCTGGGTATGCAGCTCCTCAGGCATGGGACACGTGTGAGGGACTGGGGGTCTCCAGGGCTACCTGGGCAAGGGGTGGCAGACAGGCTCTTGCCCCCATCCCCACCAAGAATGGCTCCACTTGATCTGTTTTACATATTGGGGCTCTGAGGATGATTTCACTTTTAGAAAGTGTCCCTCGCCTTAAAAAAGTTTAAGACTATTCATCTTGTCTAGGAGCCCAGCCCATGGGTCAGGTGTGGCCCGCCACCTGTTTCTGTACAATCCGCAGACTAAGTTTTACCTTTCTAAATGGTTGGGGAGGAAAAAATCAAAAGAAGACTATTTTATGACATGGAAGAGTTCCACGAAACTCTGATTTCCAGAATCGATTGTAACTGGAACGCAGCCAGCTCCCTGGTGCAAACGTCGCCTGTGCTAGGACGGCAGGGCCGAGTCTTCGTAGCAGAGACAATGCTCGTCCCAAGAGCAAGGACTCGAACTGCCCGCCCGGTCTGCAAAAAATATTCACCCTGTATCTTGCCTAACCTCGGCTTTCTAAAACTGCAGAAAGTGAGGCCCAGTACAAGGAAGAACTTCCCCGGGTTCTCACAAAGCATTCGAGGCCGGTAGAGGTCTCTTTTGAGTGTTCTGGCAGAGGCAGCCAGAGGAACAAAGGAAAAAAAGGAATGAGACAGAATGCAGGAGAGATGACAGTGGCCTCCGCTGCCCAGAGGAGCAGCACCAAGGGGTGCAAAGGGCTGTGCGCTTAAACAGAGGAGGGAGAGAGCTTCTAGCATCAAAGCACCACCTAAACCTACGCAATGTGTGGGTTTACGTGCATGCAGGTGGCTGGCTTTTTGTGCTAAAGAGCTCTGTGTTTGAATCACTGCCACTGTAAGCAACACGGACTCTGCTTATTTTGGTGACACTTAGCACCACGTCACTCTGACTTCCAACTGGCCCATCTTGCGCCTTCTTAGGCAGAACCTCCTAGTGCTGGCCTGGCATCAGCGCTGGTCTGCTAACAGTGATATGTAGTTTTTCACAGATGTGAACTGGAGGTGCTCGCCTGTCAAAGGGAGTCTCTGAAATAAACTTGGTAAATGGAAATTCTTGGCATCACTTGGGCAAAGGGATGAGTCACCTCTGACTAATCAGCTTTGTACATTCCCCAAAGTCTTGGGCAGACAGAGCAGAAGGTACCTCTATGACCCAAGGTGAGGCCCCAAGGGCCCGGCAGACAGGTTCTGGCTCACTGAAGGGAACTTACTCAGCCGACTTCCAGAAGTGCCCGGGGTGGGAGAGCCGTCGGTTCAGCTTGGGCAGCTTCTCCAGCATGTCCATCAGCAGGCTGAAGCTGGGTCTCTCCTGCAGGTCAAAAGCCCAGCAGGCAGACAGGATCTCCTGCAAACGGAGCTGCCATTAGTGGTGTGTAGGACGGTTGGGAGGAAAAGAAAACAGAAGGCAGCACAGCAGGGTGCTCCACAAAGGCCCCTGCAATGCTCTCGAGCACCCCCTGGTGGTGGCCCTCTGAACACCCTGCCAACATGCAGAGCTGAGAAATAACTGTTCCAGAAGAGCTCTCATGCTTCTAGTTCAAAACGAAGTGCATGAGTTCGCCTCCATTCCTTCCTTCCTAGGTCAGCCCCTACCCCCAAAGAGTAACCACGTTGACGGACTGGTAGTGGGACAAAGATCAGAAATGGGGTCGTTGGTTTTTAGATGATGCAAAATGCAAGGCACAATGTCCTCAAGTAAAAAGATGCTCAGAAGACGTGAGGGGTGGGGCTGCTGCAGAGGTGGGAGCCTCAGCGTCACCAGAATGGAAGCCAGCAGTGACAAGGACGACCAAATACAGGGGCAGCAGCTGAGAGTCGGCAGCACAGCTATCCGGAATCCCCCCTGCCCCAGGGAAAGCCCTTCATGCTGCAGCATTTTGCCGCCTGCTCTCAGGATCTGCAAGTGTACACAGCGCCTCAGCCTTCCGATTCAGGGGAACTGCCTGCGTGCACGACAGCACACGTGGGCGGAACGCACACACCACCAGACCAGCAGCTCAGGCTTTTCTTCCTAAATACAGCTCGACCCCGTGGGGCTGCCTGCCGTATCAGGAAAACCAGAGACCAAAGACATGCGGATCAAAATACCGTCTCTGGAGGATAAGGGGAGGGTGGGTGGGTGTGTGTGTGTGTGTGTGTGTGTAAGAGAAAAGCTATTCTATCCATAAAACAAGACCAGAGTACAATAAAGAAGAAACCTACAAATAAGAAAGTGCTTTAAATTGAAAATATAATTTCCGAACCAACATTAGAAGTACAAGAAGATAAAACTGAGGAAATTCCTCAGATTGTAGACCCCATTTTAGACAGGGATGGAAAATACGAAGGACAGTAAAAGACACGGAGGCTCACTAAGAAGAACAAGATTCTGTCGAACATGAATTTCCACAGAAGAAAACAAACCATTCAGCAGAAAATTATCATAGGCATAATAAAAGAAAATTTCCCAGAAACTTCCAAAGGAAACAGGAGTCTTCAGCTGAAAAGGCCCAATAAAGGGACTTTACTAAAAACAAACAAACAAAAAACCCTCAACTCAGATATATGAAATTTCACTACAGCAAAGATAAAGAGAAAATCCTAGATGCTTCCAGAGGAATAAGATAAGCATCTACAAAAGGTTGTGAATCAGACCAACACCAGATTTTTCAACGATGCACTGGACACTTAGCAGACAGCACAGCAAAATCTTAGTGTTCCGAGGGAAAATTATCATGAAGTTAAAATTCTACTCCTGCTATGTGGACAAAATAAGAACTTTTTTAGGCATGCAAAGATCATCTCCCATTCATCCATTGGGAGAGAGTTTCTTTGGGTTTTTCTCTCATTTTGCTGGAATGCAAACAAACAGAGGGGCAGACATGCGACACAAGGAACAGTACCACTGCCCCAGGAATGAATGAACAGAAAACAGAAGGTAACAGCCGTGTAGCAGACCTAAAACCCCACAGATCCAAATGATAAGAAATCGTGGGCTCTGAAAAGAATGGAACAGGTTCCACTGAATAAGCAGAACACAGAAGGCGCTAAAAGACCTCAGGAATAAGATAAAGATGTTTGTTTCTTCTCTCATCAAGAAAAAAAAAGGCAATTAAAACTACAGGAAAAACTAACGCTGCACAAGAAAGCCAGGGTCCGAATGTGAAGCCAACAAAATCTCGTGCCTTTGAGTAATGGACGAGGTGGAAGAGACGGACCCACAAAGAAGAAAACGTCCCCCCCGGGGCCCGCCCGACCAGCGGCCAACGCGCTCACGGTCTAAGGTAACAGCGCACACGCTGCTCATCGTCTTCTCGCTTAGCCTCAATCCAGACGCAGCGTGGAAGATTTACTCACGGCAACGTGACAGCGACCTTAGCGACACAGGAGTGAGGGGAAAGCTGACCTAAGCGGTGCTGCGGAAGGGACAGAGTGACAAGGAGCCAAAGCTCATGGAACAAGACGCTGGTGTCTTTGGAGGCTGAGGGGGGCAGGGACTGCTGGTTCTCGTTAAGACCCGTTCTGGTGGTTGATGTCTCCCCGCGTGTGCGTGTCCCCAGACAAAAACTCACTGGCTGCCTCGGCACGTGACGCAGAGTCGGTGGTGAGCGAGACAGCAGGACGGCCGGAGGGACAGAGAGAGGTGCCACCCAGAGGCCAGTCCCTGCGTTCGACTGTGATTTAAAATCATTTCTTATTGCCATTGACACCCCCACCCCCACCGCACCCCCGCAGCAATGTGTTGGAACGAGAAGGGACAAGACCCGACAGGAGAGACAGCCCTCCGGGGCTGGAGCAGGCTGCCAGAACGCTCTCTCTGTGTCCCCACTCTCCACTCCCTGACCCCAACCTGTTCTTAAAAGGCTTCAAAGCACCCATCACCTCAAACTAAAAGAAATCCTTCCAATTAGTTCAGAACTCTGGCTGTGCTCTAGAATTTTCCAAGAGCTTTATTTAAAAATAAAAAATTATGTCCTTAGCCCCACCCCAGGCCAACCGGATGGGTATTTCTGTGGGGAAGGCCCTGGCATTTTTATAAAACTCCAGATGATTCTGACCCGTAGCTGGTGCTGAGCCCAGACCCAGCCCTCTCTGATCAGCTCCGCTCCGGGCCTCCACCTCCCTGGAGACGGCACTTAACACTCTGCTCCGAGGTGTAGAAAGGGAACGGAGATGGCTGCCAGGGGGCAACTTACTAGCCGTATTTTTTCTTTCAGATACAGCAGACATACAGACACACTCTTGTTTATACAGACGTAGCCTCACTAACTTTTATTGTAAAGGTGGAAACTGGAAATATCCTAAACGTCCAGGGACAGTAGTAGTTCCGCTGTGGCGCAGCTAGAGGACAGAGGGGTAGACAGGCTTAACAATAAAGACTTGTCAATGCCTTGAGATAATGAGCACAATAAAATGCTATGTGGAAAAAGTCACAATTTAAAAAATCAGTTATATGTTATGATCTTGATTTTGTTAAAGATATGTATTTTTTAAACATTTTTTAAGAGACTGGAAGGCAGCGGCTACTTTAGCTGCCATCTGAGCTGCCCCAGGGCGCAGCCAAGGGGGCTGTAGCGACAGCCTGGAGCCCCAAACTCATATCTTGAGCCCACTACACCAGCCTAAGACACCCCAGGACGCGCCCCGGTGAAGGTGGCATTCAATCAGCTCCAGCCCAGAAGGACGAGCCCAAGAGTGAGAGTGCTCAGCACCCACGCCCCTCGCCCAACACCCCAGATGACATGGTATCAACTGGCCAAAGGAAGTGCCTGCTATTAGTGCTGTCAACTAGCATTTTGGTGTCATTCTCGGGGGAGCACACCTCCACAGATATTTTGCACTTCAACAAGATGACAAGTACCACAGTGTGATGAAGTAGAATCAAACATAATGTTATCCCTTTTCAAAGAGGCTTCTCAAGATGTTCTAGCTGCTTGCTACCCATCAACTGAGGAAAACATTAAGACCTACTAAGATCTTGGAGGAAGAGGAGGCTGAATTCATCACCGTGCCTGTCCAGAGTTCAAGGACAGTGATGCTGCCAACACTGTTCACGACTTTAACAAGCAGCTCACAGTCCATTGAGATCTTAACCTGGACAAGTGTGAAGTGGTCCCTCTGAACACTTCCCGTGATGCTGGCCAGACACCTCCTGGAGTTACCTGTTAACATAAAGCTGTTCTGCCTGAATCCTACGTGATTCACGAACACGTGGTTATCACTGATCGCACTGAAAATGTCAAGCCCTGGGGTTTCTTCATATGTCACTGAGCCTGGACAAGGAAACTTACGAATGCAAAGAAGCCATTCAGAAACGAGAAGCCCGCGACTGTAACTAAAATTCAGCATTGTGAAAACGAGTCTGCCGTGGAAACTTCGGTCTGTTCTTGAACAGTCAATAAAAACATTATGGACAAAGATCTGAGACCACAGCACAACCCTACTATTGTGTTTTGAGCAGTGATTATTTTTATTATCTTCTTTCATGTAAATAATATATAGGGCTTTTACTCTCTTTTCATCTCATAAATCAACGAAAACCATTATCTTTTTTAACAAAAGACTGGAAGGAAATGAGAAAAGTGACCGGCGGGGTGAGAACGGATGGTTTTATTTTCTCCTCTATGCGTCCCTGTTCTCGCCCCGTCTTCGATCGTGTGCACTGTGCTAATCGCTAATTATGACACCTCCAGGCCACAGAGCCCCTCACTGGTCCCGCTTGCCAGGTGGGTCCGTGAAGGGCACCGGTGTCGTGCGCCCAGCCCCACCCTCGGCCCTGCTTCCCTCTCCCAGAGCAGGTGGCGACTCACGCTGACTTCCTTCCCCAGGCTGACAGACGCCAGGACTCGCTTCATTCCTTCCCCGCTGCCAATCTGCCAGATCAAGGCCTCTGCAGCTTGGTTCTTAAAGGGCCAGTCTCTTGCTTGTAGCTCATACCAGATAGTCCTGCGGAGACCCATCCACAGTGTGAGCTCCTGATGGCTCTGCCCAGCTCATGCCCAGGGGCTCTGCGACTAGCGAACCGGCCACCCAAAGCCAGGAGCCAAGCCAGAGGACCAGAGTCCCACTCCGGCCTTGCTCCCCACCCGCCAGGCTTCAGGGATGCTATGATGGCATCTGGAGGCTTCTCCCCGTCCCAGAGGGTCTGGGCCCTGCTGCCGTGGTGGTGGAAGTCTGAGGCAGCACAGGCTGGAGCAGAGAGTCAGTGGTCATTCCGACCCGAGCGTGAACCCAGTCCTGTCACTTTCTAGCTGCAAGATCCCGGTGCAACTGCCTAACCTCAGCAGGGCTGATGCCTCCAGAGTAACAAAATGCCAAGCCCAGTGCCTGGCACACATCAGTGCTCAGGAAATGATTCAGTTAAAGGTGAGGGAGGAAGAGACAGCGCCCAGGCCACCCCGTGGGAAGGACACCCAGAGAGAGCACAGGGTGGCCGGGGTGCAGAGCCTTCCTCAGCCTCTCCAAGTCCCCTTGGCCTTCCCGACTTACTAGGACGGGACTTTCTCCATCAGCCCTGCGCTGTCCAAC